CTCATATCAGCCCCAGTGATTATTCATTGCATTATATTACAGTTGATAATGCCATCTCGATCATCCAGAATCTTGGTCAGGGGTGTTTTATGTCTAAGCTAGACATCAAGTCTGCCATTCGCAACATCCCCGTCCAGGCTCATGGCTCGTGTACGACGACCTGACTGACGTCATTATACCGCAGATGCAAAGAGTAATTGTAGCACAGAGGAACAGGAGAACAGTAGGAACAAAGGAACAGAGCAACAGAGGAACAGTAGGCACAGAGGAACAGAGGAACAGTAGGCACGGAGGAACAGGGGAACAGTAGGCACAGAGGAACAGAGGAACAGTAGACACAGAGGAACAGAGGAACAGAGGATCAGTAGGAATAGAGAAACAGGGGAACAGTAGGCGTAGAGGAGCAGGGGATCAGTAGGCACAGAGGAAATAGAGGAACAGTAGGAACAGGGAACAGTAGGAACAGTAGGAACAAAGGAACAGAGGAACAGAGGAACAGTAGGAACAGGGCAATAGAGGAACAGTAGGAACAGTAGGAACTATGTAAAACAACTTGTAAAAAAGCTTGTAACGCCAAGTACATATTTAATCGAGGTGAAAAGAGGGTTCAACCCGCGGTCAGATTTTACCTGCAACAAAACAGAAGAGAACCGACAAACTCAGCCCACATATGACACCGAGTCCCGTGCATATTATTAGTAATTTTTTTCCCCAGGGCAGAAAACCAAATCCCATTGGGCACAACAACGTATAACTCTAAACACCTTTACAAAATCCCGCAGGGTATCAATCTTACAAAGTTAATTTTAAACCCCACTTTGATATGGGAGATGATCAAACTAAAAATCCTTGAACAGTCTGTAACTGAATACGCTATAGATAGAAAAACAAAAACGTCAATAAGAGAAGAAGAAATAGAAAAAGCGTAAAATGTACTGCACGAATTGATAGAATCCAGTAACAATGGAGATCGAGAAAAGAAAAACGCCCCCATGGTTCTGGAAGAAAAAAAGCTGAACTGGAGAAAATTATTGAATATAGGACGAAAGGTGCAATATTACGTGCCAAATGCAGATGGCATAACGCGGGTGAAAAAAAACAAAAAGTATTTTCTATATCTCGAGAAAAGGCATTTTAAAAACGGCGTTATTATCCATTAAAAAACTGGAGAAAATGAATTTGTTATGTCGGACAAAGAGATATTACTTCAGTGTGAAAATTTCTCCAGAGACCTTTATAAATCCCGCATAGATGAACAACAATCCGAACCCTCGAATTTCAACTTTTTTGAAGACAGAAATATTCTAAATGCGGATGAAAAAGAAAGTTGTGAGGTTTGCTAACCAAATCAGAGTGTCTGCAAGCATTGAATAGCATGGACCCAGAAAAAAAACACCAGGCTCTGACTACTTGGTAACCTCGATCAACTACGCGTACCAAAAGGGGCAGTTCTCAGTGACTCAAAGACGAGGAATAATTGAAATCATTCCTAAAAGAGATGCAGAACCATTTCTTATTAAAAACTGGCGCCAAATTACCTTACATAATTGCGACTATAAGATTGTGGCCAAAGCTCTTGTTCCCCTGTTCCTCTGTGCCTACTGATCCCCTGTTCCTCTGCGCCTACTGTTCCCTCTGTTCCTACTGTTCCTCTGTTCCTCTGTGCCTACTGTTTCCCTGTTTCTCTATGCCTACTGTTCCTCTGTTCCTCTGTGCCTACCCTACTTTTCCTCTGTTCTTCTGTGTCTACTGTTCCCCAGTTCCCCCGTGCCTACTGTTACTCTGTTCCTCTGTTCCTCTGTTCCTCTGTTCCTCTGTTCCTCTGTGCCTACTGTTCCCCTGTTCCTACTGTTCTACTGTTCCANCTCTTCCTCTGTTCTTCTGTGTCTACTGTTCCCCAGTTCCCCCGTGCCTACTGTTACTCTGTTCCTCTGTTCCTCTGTTCCTCTGTTCCTCTGTTCCTCTGTGCGTACTGATCCTCTGTTCCTACTGTTCCTCTGTTCCTCTGTGCGTACCCTACTCTTCCTCTGTTCCTCTGTGCCTACTGTTCCCCTATTCCTACTGTTCCTCTTTTCCTCTGTTCCTCTGTGCTTAATGTTCCCCTGTTCCTCTGTGCTTACTGTTCCTCTGTTCCTCTGTGCCTACTGTTCCTCTGTTCCTCTGTGTTTACTGTTCCCCTGTTCCTCTGTGCCTAGTGTTCCTCTGTTCCTACTG